AGGAAGGGATTCTGGTTGTACTTTCAGCAGAGTGAACTTCGGTGTGTTGCCTGTCAGAACTTGCATGCTTTTTACATTTTATGAATGTTCGAAGTTTTGTTAGAAGGATTTGGCACCTTACTAATTAAATGAGGTGATTTCAGAGGGCAGAGGAGCCCTTGAATCATAGAAAAGACAGAGGGACTTCTAGAAGGCACTCCGCTTCTGGGGGAAGCTGATTCAGGTTGGCCTCTGGGTTGCCGGAGGCCGGCAGACCTGGGGGACCCTCAGCCCACCCCTAATGAACACAGGCAGACCCTGTGCACGTCCTAAAGACAGATTCAGAACCTTTTTTCCCCCACTTAGTCTTGGCACCTCTCCTTCCAACAAGCACACTGAGTTGATCACACAGCACAATGAAGCTTATGTTTATGCTTGTATAATAACGCCTTCCTGCCGGGCGTGGTGGCTCACACCTGTAATCCCAGCACTTTGGGAGGCCGAGGTGGGTGGATCACCCGAGTTCAGGAGTTCAAGACCAGTCTGACCAACATGGTGAAACCCCATCTCTACTAAATACAAAAAATCAGCCAGGCATGGTGACACATGCCAGTAGTCTCAGCTACTTGGGGGCCTGAGGCAGGAGAATTGCTTAAACCCAGAAGGTAGAAGTTGAATGAGCCCAAATTGCAGCATTGCGCTCCAGCCGCGGCAACAAGAGCTAAACTCCATCTCAATAATAATAAAAACAAAGATAATGCCTTCTGACCATAACCACACATCTTCCAGGCTGCCACCTTCCAATTCTGCCAATAGCCAACCTCTGGGAATACAGCTGTTAACCCACCTGGAGTTGACTGGGTCCATTTTCTAAACACATTTTGAACGAGGTTTTGTGTTTCACATAGCCTATCAATCATTTTTTAAAACACGTGCTTTATTCCTATTATTAAAATCAATATGTAACAAATGTTATCAGAGAGACCATTTTTTATCATCTGTGCTACTGAAGAACAATTTTGTGCTGTTTTAATGAATGAGTGTTTTTATCCATATGCATTCTTTTACCTCATGACCCTTTCCTCATAGTGAGCTACACATTCTGTGTCACTGTCACAGAAAGAAAACATTCAGGAAGCAGAGGAAATAAGAGTCTATTCTCGGCATTAGAATTTCCAAAGAAAGAGAAAAAACTCAAGTCCAGCGGACTTTGTAGAATACTTGAGGGAAAACAAAAAGCTTGCTGCTATACGGTGTATATGAAACAGTTTAGATGTGGGTCCCATCCCCAAGGTATCTCGTTTATATGCGCATATTCCAAAATCTGAAAATATCGGAAATCCAAAATGCTCTGTCTCCAAGCATTTCAGATACGGTACACATAACCTTTAATGACTGAAGCAACATTAAAATATCCAGGAAGGGGCCAGGCAGGGTGGCCTGTGCCTGTAATCCCAGTACTCTGGGAGGCCAAGATAGGCAGACTGCTTGAACCCAGGAGTTCAAGACCAGAGTGGACAACATGGCGAAACCCTGTCTCTACAAAAAAACAAGAAACAAGAACAAAAATCAGTGAAGTGTGGTGGTGCATGCCTGCAGTCTTGCTACTCTGGGGACTGAGGAGGAGGGATCGCTTGAGCCCAGAAGGTGGGGAGGCTACAGTGAGCCAAGTTTGTACCACCACACTACAGCCTAGGCGACAGAACAAGACCCTGTCTCAGAGAAGTAAGACTCATCCATCTTCCGTCTTCAAGAGACCGATCTCACACCACAGGCTCAAAGTCAAGTGTTGGAGAAAGATCTACTATGCAAACAGAAATCAAAAAAGAGCATGAGTCGCTATTCTTGTATCAGATAAAACAGACTCTAAACCAATAAAAATTAAGGAGGACAACTAAGGGCATTACATAATGATAAAGGGCATAATCCAACAAGAAGACCTCACTACTTTAAACGTACGCTCACAACGATGGAACACCCAGCTTCATCATTCAGCATCTTCTTGGCCTATGAAAAGACTTAGACAACCACACAATAATAGTGGGAGACTTCCACACCCCACTGACGGCATTAGACAGATCATTGAGGCAGAAAAACTAACAGAGAAGCTTGATCTAAACTCAACAGCTGACCAAGTGGACCTCGTAGACATCTCTACAGAACACTCCACCCAACCACAGAATATCCATTCTCATCTGCACACAGAACACACGGATCAACCACAAGCTCAGTCATAAAGCAAGTCTCCAAAAATTTAAAAAACCCTAAAACCATACCAAGCACATTCTCACACCATAGTATATAAATAACTAAAATGAGAGAAGCACCGAATGATACCGAGATGCAAAAATCTATATAAAAGCCAGGTGCAGTGGCTCCCACCTGTAATCCCACCACTTTGGGAGGCTGACATCGGCAGATCACTTGAGGCCAAAAGTTTGAGACCAGCCTGGCCAACATGGAGAAAGCCCATCTCTACTAAAAATACAAAAATCAGCTTGGTGTGGTGGTGTGCACCTATAGTCCCAGCTACTTGGGAGGCTGAGGAGGGATGATTGCTTGAGCCTGGGAGGCAGAAGTTGCAGTGAGACAAGATCATGCCACTGCGCTCCAGCCTGGGGGCACAGAGCAAGACCCTGTCCCCCCCGCCAAAAAAAATCCATACACCAAGAATTCTTTGAAAAAACAAACAAGATTAATAGACTGCTAGCTAGATTAACAAAGAAAATGGATCCAAATAAGTATAATCAGAAAGACAATGACAATACAACCCATGGAAATACAAGATACTCAGAATACTACGAAAAACTCTATGCACACAAATTTTAACATCTAGAGGAAATGGGTACATTCTTAGAAACACACCATCTCCCAAGATTGAATCAGGAAGAGGCTGAAACCTTGAATAGACCAATATTGAGCTCTGAAACAGAATCAGTTACCAAAAATAAAAAAACCCAACGAAGCCCTGCAAAAGATGGATTCACAGCCAAATTCTACCAGACACGCCAGAAAGAACTAGTACTGATCCTACTGAAACCATTCCAAAAAAACTGAGGAGGAAGGGAACCTCCCTGACTCATTCTATGAAGCAGCATCAGCCTGATACCAAAATCTGGCAGAGATACAAGAAAGTAATCTTCAGGCCAATATCCCTGATGCACAGATGCAAAAATTCTCAACAAAATACTAGCAAACTGAGTGCAGCAGCACATGTAAAAATTAATTCACCATGATTAAGTAGGCTTTATTCCTAGGATGCAAGGCTGGTTCAACACCTGTAAGTCAATAAATGTTACTTACCACATAAGCAGAATTAAAAGCAAAAACTGTACGATCATCTCAATAGACCCAGAGAAAGCTTTTGGTAAAATCCAACATCCCTCATGATTTAAAAAAAACCCTCAACAGACTAGGCATTGATGGAACTTACATCAAAACAAGAGCCCTCAATGACAAACCCAGAGCCAACATCATACTGAATGAGCAAAAGCCGGAAGCATTCCCCTTGAGAAAACAAGGATGCCTGCTCTCACCACTCCGACTCAACATGGTATCAGAAGTCCTGGCTACAGCAATAAAGGGCATCCAAACAGGAGAGTAAATCAAACTACCACTCTTTACTGACAATATGATTCCCTATTTAGAAAACCCTAAAGGCTACTAGAACTGATAAACCAGGTAAATCTCAGAAGCGTCATCTAGAGAAAATAGTGCAACTTACCTGCCAAATAAATTTTGAAATGAAAGCACAGAATCTTAAGAGTCTATTACGGTGGCTCCAGAAATATTTCTAAATAAGTTAAAAATCTGTCACCAGAATTAAAAAGTCAAATACGATTTTCTGCCATAACATAGCCTTCTTGCTCTTTGCTGTTGAGAGCTCAGATATGCTACTGCAGGAGCTACTCTGGAATTTACTCCAATGACACTAGTTTCATTAAACATTCATTAAAAAAATTCCTAAACTGATGTTTGCAGTTTTAGAGTGTTTATTACTCATATGAAACACCTATGAAATGTTGATTTGCATGCCACTTTAGAAAAATATTTATTGGCTGGGCGTGGTGGCTCACGCCTGTAATCCCAACACTTTGGGAGGCTGAGGTGGGCAGATCACTTGAGGTCAGGGTTCAAGACCAGCCTGGCCAACATGGCAAAGCCCCATCTCTACTAAAGATACAAAAAATTAGCCAGGCATGGTGGCATGTGCCTGTAATCTCAGCTACTGGGGAGGCTGAGGCAGGAGAATCACTTGAACCTGGGAGGCAGAGGTTGCAGTGAGCCAAGATCACACCACTGCACTCTAGCCTGGGCAACAAGAGTGAGACTCCATCTCAAAACAAAACAACAACAAAACCCTTTTTTTTAGGCTCTGAGAGTGTCCACTGTATTGTGGTACCATAACCATTTTACAGAAACAATTAGTTTAAAGAAGTTGATTAAGAATATAATTTTAAGCAAACTCTTTTCAATGTAAATATACTTTCAAAGACAGAAATAACTGACACCATCCTTCCAACTTTATTCCTACTAATCCTTGGTCTTGTAAGGCACATAGAAGTTATTCTGATTTTGAAAACAAGAGTGCATTGTAGAGATAAACATAGGATCAAAACTCAGTTGTCTTGAATTCTTTTCTTTCTTCATTATGCCAGGCTAGTTCTAAATGCCTAAAATACTGTAAAATGGACTAGAAAACGTTGAGGATGTCAATTTTACGTTTCTTACCAATCTTTACTCATAGAAATGAATAAGCCATTACTGTTAAGCACATTTTCTAAGATGGTATATAATCATTTATAGGTTAAGACTTTTTGGCATTGAAAATATTGAACTTTTTATGAATTTAATTATTAAAGTATAATCAACTCACATCTTTGGATTTAAATTGGTCTTTATATGTTTCATAGTATGCAATATTTGAAGAATCTGAGATGAGATGCACACCCATCACAGGTGCCTAGACACCCATTTGGACACTAGGGTTAGCAGGGTGAAAACAACTACATCACAATACATTTTTAAGCAAATCAAAAAATTTATTTGGAGTAGTAGCTAAGAAACGGCTTTTTATGGAAACTGGAAAATAAAGCAGAGGAAGTGCAAGAGCTACCCCTTACGAAGTAACTTTAATAGTTAAAAAACTTTCATAGAATTGTACTAAAAAGGAGGCAACATTACTTTCTGACAAAGATAAAAATAACTGAACAAGAATCTGGCCTAATAACTTGACATTGGGTTAGTATACTTTCTAGTTATAGACATAAATCTTCAAAGTACATATATTCAGTACAAGTCACAAATCTATAAAACAGTGCTAGACCATCCCTGACTTTTCATGTTCTTGAAAATGAGAAGAGTAATAGATTAAAGAAGTCACTCCTTCTTAAGAATGTCCCTTAAACTGTAACAGCTTCATAGCACCTTGACTTAGAGAATATACCACATTTTCCAACTCCTATTTATCTATTTATATGCATTATATGTAAGTGACAATGACAACAGAATTGTAAATTCTGCTTAAAAAAGACTGTTGCCCCTTCAACTTCTACTTCCAGTTGGATCAGTTATCAGTAATACTTCCATGAACTTCCCCTTTCAAAGGAGTAAAAACCAAAGTGTTAAATTAGTACATAAAAGTAGTTTTATTTATAAAATTATTATGTGTTGTATCCTGACATGTGGCAGCAAAGATAATATCAAATGTAATCAGAGACTAATACCATTATGAACAGGAATTATATATCTAATATATATATTATATACAAATAGAATCTTTTATATATGTCGATTTTATATATATAATCTTTTATATATATGAAGAGATTTTATATATAATCTTTTATATATAGAGATTTTATATATAATCTCATATAGAGATTTTATATATGTAATCTCATATATAAAGAGATTTTTATATATAATCATATATAAAGAGATTTTTATATATACTCACATATAGATTTTTATATATAATCATATATATAGAGATTTTTATATATAATCTTATATATAAAGAGATTTTTATATATAATCTTATATATATAAAGAGATTTTATATATGTGATCTTTTACATATATAAAGAAATTTTATATATATATATGACATATATATGTTTTTTCCTGGAATAACTTAAAAATCAATTTTAAAAAACTGATTAATTCACTATTGGACAGATGTTAAATGCTGAATTTAAAATTCAGCATTATCTTCTCTCTCCTGAAATATAAGTTGTTACATAAACATTAAAAGTACAGTAAGTTAAAAAACAAAAGAAAATAAAGCCTTGGTTGAGTACAGCTAAAGCTTATGTATACAGCTGGCAGAATAAGTTGTTCACCAGAACAGGCCATCAAATAACACTGAGTGAACATCATAGCCCACAAAAGAAGCAGACCCTTAAAGCCAGGTTGTGGTCATGAATTCTTTTTTTTAACCTCCCCGCTCCCATGTTCACATGCCCTATCCTCAACAAAATCTAATACGAACTAAAACCAAGACATTTTGAATTGGTGTTTTGTAAAATGCAGTGGCACCTTCCTGCTAAAGGTGCTAAGGAAAGAAGCATTCAGAGCACACGCTGCAGAACCTGAGCACAGAAAAATAAAACTCTTACAGTGGCTACAGATCAAAAACGCATACTGAAAAAAGAGTTTTGTCATCTAACAAGAAACCTTTCCAATATATTTTAAGGTATACTGAAAAGGCGACTAGCGAAAAATGGTGGTAACAGTGAGATATCATACTTTGTTACATGAAAGCCTAAAGTTTGACGGAAAAGTCAACTATATTAAACCCTATCTGCCGTTACCAATTCCATCGAGATTAGTTAGGTGTTTAAATGTGGGACTGGTAAAAATATTACTTCCAGGATTTAATCAAATAAATCAAACTAAACCAAAATAAGAAAATTAGCTAATATTTAAAGCAGCAGCCTCAACAAATGTGTGATTTATTTCCCTTTTTGTTCAAATTTTCGTTTTCTTTTTCAGGCTTATAAATATTGGCTTTCTAAGTCTACTCTAATAACATAATAAATACCAAATCACAGCACACATGCTAGCAATGTTACCTAAAACACTGCTCCTCTGACACACCTCAGGATCTGCTTCTTGGCTGTTCGTGCTGACAGTGCTATTTTAGTGATTCAACAAATACTTGGTTTTCCTTATGATGCAGCCGTGGTGGTTCTTCAACGATCCACGAGTTAGAAGACCGCAGCGCTAAAACCTACCTCATTTCTAAGAATCAGTAATAGGACTTAACCTGAATGTATAAAAACACCAAAGGGGAGCTTCTAAGTAGAACTTTCTGATGTTCATATCTGAAATGGTTTGGAATGGTTGATCAGACCTTTAAGATCTAAATCAGTGCACTTATACAATAACTAGACACCTCTGGTGAATCACAAGAATTGGTCCAACAGAAGCATCTTGCAATCTGCTCATCAAATCTCGATCAGCTGTACTAATAAAAAGAAATTTCAAGATTTGTTTCATAAGCATTAAATCTCATAAAATCAAGCTACGTCATACCACATAAGTTCTAAGGCAAATAAAAAACAAAGCCAGCCAAATTTAGGAGCTGAGCTCATGGTATAACACTTATAAAGAAATGAAAATAACACAAATTGAAAACTATGTAGTGAATATCTTGGGTACAACATGCAATGATACTATCACTTCTGTTCTGTCAGCATGACACCTTAATTTATATAATTAGAAGATACACATGCATACCACTATTTCTCTATTAAGAGCACATACACGTCACATAAATATATCCTCAAGAAACACTTTTCACATGAAATCAGTTTTTTGACAATAATTTTGCACTGAATAACAATAAATTACCACTCACTGTTGACCTTAAATTGCTAAAACGGTGTTACGGATGTTTACACAGAGTTAAAGTAACATGCACAAGCACTTCAGTAAGAGTGGTGTGAACAATGTTTAAAGTAAAAAAGGGTTTTATAACCAAGCTGTGCGGACATTAGGGGGTTTAGATCTTCTTCGAGGGTGGCCACTGGCGGTGTCAACAGCTGATCGCTGACTCCTGCAACTGAGACCACTGGTAGCACTGGATGTCCTGGAAGCTCCCCCTGAAAATATACACAGAGAAAATATCTGAGAAACTTCTTCTCACCTTACGTCCAGACTAGCTTTTCTTCCACATTCTATGTGTATCTAATAGTCTAATAGCAATGATTCCTGACTAGGAATGTACTTCAGAATTTCCTGTGGAATTTAAAAAATATAATAACAAACACATCCAGATGCCACATCAGGTGATTTTGATTCACTAGATTGGCACAGAAAGCAAACATTTCTAAAAGCTTCTCAAATAATTCACGTAGAAAACAAATCACTTTGTATAACCATTTATGTATCTAATCGACAAATAACTTACTGCATTCAGGGATAATGCTAAGCATGAGTTCCTCACATAAGACCCCGTCTCAGTCACCAGACCGTGGAAGCACAGTTTGTAGAAGGAATAAATGGAATTCCTAGTCATTTGAGAGTTTAAGACTCGTATGCGTGGGCCCCGGAAAGCTGTGGCACTGAGTGGTTTAGTGTTACCTTCCAGTTTTTACATAGCTTGGAATGCAAACATGAAGTGACAGCTCAGACTGTAGAGGACACTGGCCTTTCCAGATGTGGCGCACTCCAGCACTGAACGGTCACTCCACTCCTGTGTTCTCTGGGGCACACGACTGGTTGCTCATTTTTGTTTTAGTAATCCAATGGGTAAGAAAAAGCAGATATAAGGGCTGGGGGCTATTAGCAGTAATTCTTAACTACCTCGGGAGAATGTTTCAGCGGCTTTTCAACAGCACATCTATGCATTTCTTCCTGTAATAAATTCTGAAATTAAAAGTCCCCCTTCAGTTACCTAAGAACCTCCTGATACTTTCAACTCTTTTATCTCCTGGTTTCCTTCCTGCACGGTCATTACAAGCTGTAAATGAAACCTGAAAGTAAGTGAATTGATGCAAATGAAACGAGACAGTGAAACATGACAGTAGAATATTCCAGAAGTATCACAATCACGTAAGTTAGGTTCTTTTGGATACAAGATACAAATAAGTATAAAATGATTTTGAATATGCTTACTTAATGGGCTGTATTGGCCAAGAGTGGATCTGGCTCGTCTCGACGATGGGGATGAGTTGAGGTAACCCATATTGCGATGATACTCCATCAGCTGTTCTGAGCGTTTCATGCCAACTGTTGGTTTCACAGCCTCGAGCCTCTTTAATAAAGCCTTCAATAAAGACAATCAGTTTGAAAGTCAAGGTTAAACAGCAGTCATTTTTAACAAGGCAATACATTCTAGAGCCTGACATTCACTTTGTTTTCGTTTTTTTAAGAGGCAAGGTCCTTACTCTGTCACCCAGGCTGGCGTTGAACTCCTGGGCTTAAGGGGTCCCCCCATCTTAGCCTCTCAAGTAGCTGGGATTACAGGTGAGACCTACCACATCCAGCCAAAATAGTTTAAATCATTCCTGACACACCATGTGAAAAACACATTTCAAATAATATAATTCCCTGAAAACCCAAGGGTTTTTGCGTATCCCACAGCTAACCAAACCACTACGGTGTAACAACTCATCCGGGGGTGTCCAACGGGAAGAACACAGTCATGGGTTCTGAGTTTCTCTGAGGCGAGTTCTTAGTATACTCCTTTCTATGTATCACTACAGACGGAAACTAAAACCCATGGCCTGAGGCTGCTAAAAGCCTAAAACAGAACAACAACAACTACAAAACACGGTGAGTTAGACAAGCTTGCTAGAGGCAGAATTCTGTTGTGCCAGGTTAGTCTTAGGAAAGGTGCTGCTAAGTTGAAATAAAATACATTAAACCTGATTTTCTCATAGACATGACATAATGGTGTCACTCACATATGGGAGCGACTATGATTCCATCCACGCACACTGCGGAGCGAGCAATGTCTTTCACTCTGCTTCCTTTGTAGAAGTGCCTCAAGGGCTGGTAGTCCACTGGGGAAAGGGCAGGAGGGAGGGCCCTTGACTCTTCCACTGCTCATTTCTACCAGCCCAACTATGCTTTCCGTATTGTCTGTTTTATATACTAAAGATTCTGCATAACATTTAATGTGAAGAAAAAAGCTTTTGCTGTTAAGAAGTTCGAAAACCAATTACTACAGAATATAAAGCTTTAAAAAGGATATGTAGGCTGCGTACGGTGGCTCACACCTATAGTCCCAGCACTTTGGGAGGCCAAGGCGGGTGGATCACCTGCTTGAACTCAGGAGCTGGAAACCAGCCTGGACAACATGGTGAAACCCTGTCTCCATGTTTATAATATTTTAATAAATAAGAGGGGTCTGAACCAAGTGGCCGAGGCAACCCAGTACCAATAACATGGTATTTTGTATGATGCAGTAAGTAACACACTAATGTATGATGCTCTAAATTTTGTTAATAATTATTTCTTAAAAGGTGAAAGCGTTTATTCTGTTTGCTTTTCATAGGCATTGTTGAGAAAGAAATACCGAGGTAGACTAAGTAGCTTGGGGAATTGATCCATGATTGGGTTTTATTATTTTCTTTACTGATTGAAACTGCCTCTGAAGGAAGCTGATCTTAATTTGCAAAACGAGTGCCGGCCTGCGCTGAGTTTCACATAAAAAATCAGACTCATGAATTCAGTCACAGGACAACATTTGGGATACATTCAGTTAAAAATACATTATTTGAAAATTTTTACCTGTTTTGACATTTTTAATGTGACTATTAGAAAATTTAAAATTATGCATATGGCTCACGTTTCTACTATTCTAGAGTATATCAAATAAGATCTTACTAACAATTAGAGAAAAATATTGTTCACAAATTACTACGTACACAGAGTAAAAAGAATACTAGTGATTTTCCACTGCTGAATCAAACAGCTAGCACTGGGCGAAGTGGCTCACACCTATAATCCCAGCACTTTGGGAGGCCAAGGTGGGAAGATTGCTTGACCCCAAAGTTCAACACCAGCCTAGGCAACAAAGTGAGACCTGCCCCACCAACTCTGCGAAAACAAAAAAATTAGCCGGGCATGGTGACGTGTGCCTGTGGTCACAGCCACATGGGAGGCTGAGGTAGAAGCAGGAGGCTTGCTTAGGAGGATTGTTTAGGAGGTAGAGCCTGCAGTGACCTGTGTTCATGCCACTGCACTCCAGACTGGCAACAAAGCAAGATCATATCTCAAAAAACAAAAACAAAAAAATAGCTGAAATATTTTTACATAAAATTAACTATTTTGGAGAACAATAAAAGCTGTAAGAAGTAGTTAACAGTTTTTACCCTATTTGTATACATAGAACAACCATGACATTAAGGGTTTCAACTTTTCCAAAGTAAACCCTGGCTGGGCGCAGTGGCTCACGCCTGTAATCCCAGCACTTTGGGAGGCTGAGGCAGGTGGGCCATCTGGGGTCAGGAGTCTGAGACCAGCCTGACCACTATGGTGAAACCCTGTCTCTACTAAAAATACAAAAACTATCCCAGTGTGGTAGCGGGTACCTGGTTCCTTTCTAAGGAACCCAGCTTCCTTAAAAAGCTAAACATAAAATTACCGTCTGACCCAGGAATTCTACTCTTACGTGTACACCCTAAGGAACTAAAAGCAGAGACGTGAGCAGGTACTAGCCAATATTCACTGCGGTATTATTCACTACAGCTTAGCTCTATACCTACAATGGAGTAATATTCAGCCATAAAAAGGAATGAAGTTCTGATACATGTTACAACATAGACGAAACACGAAAACATTTTAAGTGAAATAGACTAGATACAAAATGACAAATACTGTCCCATTCTACTCCTATGAAATATTTAGAATAGCCAAATTCAGAGACAGAAAGTAGACTAGACGCCCTCAGGGGACAAGGGGTGGGGAAAGGAGAGCTGCTTAATAAGCCCAGCATCTGTATGAACTGATGAAACACAGTAGTGATGGTCGCATAACACTGTGAATATGCTTAACGTCACTCAATTACACACTTAAAAACAGTTAAAATGGTGAATTTTACATTATGTATACATGAGTACAACTTAATAATATACCAAAAACCATTGAATGTGTACCCTTTAAATGGGTGACAGTATGTGAATTATACCTCAGTAAAGCTGGTTAAAAAACAAAGTAAACCCTGCCGGGCGCGGTGGCTCACGCCTGTGATCCCAGCACTTTGGGAGGCCGAGGCGGGTGGATCACGAGGTCAAGAGATCGAGACCATCCTGGTCAACATGGTGAAACCCCGTCTCTACTAAAAATACAAAAAATTAGCTGGGCATGGTGGCGCGTGCCTGTAGTCCCAGCTACTCAGGAGGCTGAGGCGGGAGAATTGCCTGAACCCAGGAGGCGGAGGTTGCGGTGAGCCGAGATCGCGCCATTGCACTCCAGCCTGGGTAACAAGAGCGAAACTCCTTCTCAAAAAAAAAAAAAAAAATAGTTATCTACTTCCAAGAATTGTTGTCAGGTTTCAGTAAGTTAATATTTGGAAGATACTGGGAACAATGTCTAGTGTTTAGTAAGAGCTCAGTAAATATCAGCAATTATTATGAACTAAATCTTATGAAAAAAATATCCTGTGATAATAGTTTTATATGTGAGGATTTTCAACAGTTCCCATATTTATTTTCTTAGAATATAAAACTAGATGATTTGTAATAATCAATGTTTCATACATTTAAGTAGCAGACTAATAATTTGGTCTATCTGAGATGTGCTGATCCTTTAAAATAAATTATATACAATTTATTCTAGCTGTCCAGGACATAATAAAGTAGAGATTCGCTAGTGACTAGATACTTCACAGAAGATACACTGTATCTGACCCTTGGATACCATTTCCTATTCTACTGTAGTGATTTAATTGATCTAGTCAAATAAATAATGAAGCTTTCAATATTTCCCTTTAATGGTTTTTTTTTTTTGAAATGGAGTCTGTCTGGCTCTGTTGCCCAGGCTGGAGTCCAGTGGTGGAATCTTGGCTCACTGTAACCTCTGCCTCCTGGGTTTGGATATTCCTCCCACCTCAGTCTCCCAAGTAGCTGGGACCTCACAGGCACGTGCCACCATGCCCAGCTAATTTGTGTATTTTTGGTAGAGCTGGGGTTTTCCTAGCTTGCACAGTCTGGTCTCAAATTCCTTGCCTCAAGCAATCTGCCCACCTTGGCCTCCCAGAGTGCTAGAATTATAGGCGTGACCCACTGCATCTGGCCAATGGTCTCTTAATATATAGTTTCCTGGATAAAAAGAATACATATTGTATCTTCCAGATTTACAGCACATCATATGTTTCATACCATATATATCTGCGCCTGCTTTTATGTAATGAAGTTTGAAAATTCGGCTATATTTAGATTTCCTGTAAGCTAGATGTACAAATCAGTGCAAACACCTTTTCTCTGATGACTGTCAGCTACTCACCAAGTTTTCCCTCTCGATCCTCTGCTGTTCCTTCTGTCTGTTGAGAGCGCTGTGATATAACCTTGGGGGATGATCCGCCGATCTAGGGATTGTACTTTTGCTTCCTGGTTTTTCTGCCTGTCTTGACAGTTCTTTCAAAAGCCTCTGATTTTCCCGATCGATCTGTCTTACCTCTTCTCTTGTGAAAGAGTAGTTTCTTCCAGGTGCTACTGGAGGCTGATCAAAGTGATATTTTTGTGGTCCTTTTTCATCTAATTGCAGAAAAGCTACAGAAAAGAACAAAAAAGGGAAAAATGGTCAGACAAAATAGGTATGTGGTACATGCTTTTTTTGTTTTTGTTTTTGAGATGGTGTTTTGCTCTTGTCGCCCAGGCTGGAGTGCAATGGCGCCATCTCGGCTCACTGCAACCTCCACCTCCTCCCAGGTTCAGCAATTCTCCTGCCTCAGCCTCCCAAGTAGCTGGAATAACAGGCGTCTGCCACCATGCCCAGCTAATTTTTGGGTTTTTAGTAGAGACGGGGTTTCATCATATGTTGGCCATGCTTGTCTCAAACTCCTGACCTCAGGTGATACATCTACCTTGACTTCCCGAAGTGCTGGGATTACAGGCATGAGCCACCGTGCCCAGCCCTGTGATGCATGCTTTAACCCTTAAAAATATGTATTAGTTCATGAAAAAGTGTATATGAAATAATGCTAATGACACCTAGATTTTACAACTGTGTAGGGAAAAAATTGGATGTGGCTTAGTGTTTTATACTCACTGGGTTCCTTAGGCATAAAAGCTACACATGAAACAATGAAAGTTACCTTAAAAAATGTATATAGTACTGGTTTTCAGGCAGGTATAATTTACAGACAATGCCTTTGTTATACCAATTTTATCCTTCCCTACAGCAGTTTAGTAGCTGGAAAGATTAGAAACCTCTGAGTGGAGGCCACTTAATGTAATACTTAATTTACGTACAGTTTTTCTTATTTGGAAGGCATACTTCAAAAACAATGTCCTCAGCAGGGACTGAGGGAAACAATGCAAAAACTAACTCAGAATATTCCAAAACTATCCACCAGAAAATATGCCGCATTTGTAAATCTTAACATTGTCATTAAAACAAACACTCCTACTGTAAAAGTCAAACATTTTATTGCTGATTAAACATAAAGGTGTTTTTAACTAGTAACAATATTTTGCATACTATAAAATTAAATTTGTATCAATATGCTTACTTCTTAAATTTCCATCTCACATTTATCAATAAGTGTAATTATTACTAAACATTTGTAAAAAAACATCCAAAAGTATTAAATTTGCTGAATGTTTCAGGTTAAGTACGCACTGAAAAGGAATACACTGAGGCTGGGTGCGGCATTTGCAGAGTGGCCTGCAGTCCCAGCACTTTGGGAAGCCGAAGTGGGTGAATTGCCTGAGGTCAGGAGTTCGAGGCCAGCCTGGCCAACATGGCAAAACCCAATCTCTACTAAAAATACAAAAATTAGCTGGGCATGGTGGCACACACATGTAATTCCAGCTACTTGGGAGGCTGAGGCAGGAGAATTGCTTGAACCTGGGAGGCGGAGGTTGCAGTGAGCCAAGATTATGCCAGTGCACTCCAGCCCAGGCGACAGAGCAAGACTCCATATGAAAAATAAAGAAATAATAAAAATAAGTATGGTGCAGAAAAGTTACATCACTTGAGCAAGGTCACAAAAATGGTAACTCTATTTCCCTACATTTAAACCAAAGACGATCGAAGATTATAGAACATATAAAAAATAATTAACAGTGGCTTCCTAGTAGGAAAATTAAGAAATTAATGATTGGTAATTTGCTGAAAACTAGGCCAAGTTAGTGATAAAACGTGGATGAGAACACATTTAGAGAAATAGATTTAGATGCATAAAACATGTTAAATTATCTTGCCTCCAAGAAACATGCATTTTATAGAATAAGCCTTATAGATTATCTATAAGCCCTTCAAAATTCAATTATCAAGGAAATTAATAGTAAGCTATTTTTCCCTAATGGTTTTTGTCTTTTTTTTAAGACGGGGTCTTGCTCTGTCACCCAGGCTGGAGTGCAGTGGCGTAATCTTGGTTCCTTGAAGGCTCTGCCTTCGTGATTCAAGTGATTCTCCTGCCTCAGCCTCCTGAGTAGCTGGGACTACAGGTGCCCATCACCACACCCAGCTAATTTTTTTTTTTTTTTTTGAGACGGAGTTTCGCTCTTGTTACCCAGGCTGGAGTGCAATGGTGCGATCTCGGCTCACTGCAACCTCCGCCTTCTGGGTTCAGGCAATTCTCCTGCCTCAGCTTCTTGAGTAGCTGGGATTACAGGCACGAGCCACCATGCCCAGCTAATTTTTTGTATTTTATTAGAGACGGGGTTTCACCATGTTGACCAGGATGGTCTCGATCTCTCGACCTCGTGATCCACCCGTCTCGGCCTCCCGAAGTGCTGGGATTGCAGGTGTGAGCCACCGCACCAGGCTGAAGGGTGGGTTTTGTATCAGTCACTATTGCTCTGCTAACACGTCACCTCAAAACTTGGTGTGAGGCAGCAATCCGCGAAGACTCAAACACCAGATCAAAGTGCCTACCGGTGGCACGGGAACAAGGTGCTCCCATAACAGAATTAGCACAGGTGGACCAGCTGGGGTGGCACAGGAACAAGGTGCTCCCATAACAGAATTAGCACAGGTGGACCAGCTGGGGCGGCACGGGAAACAAGGTGCTCCCATAACAAAATTAGCACAGGTGGACCAGCTGGGGCGGCACGGGAACAAGGTGCTCCCATAACAGAATTAGCACAGGTGGACCAGCTGGGGTGGCACGGGAACAAGGTGCTCCCATAACAGAATTAGCACAGATGGACCAGCTGGGGTGGCACGGGAACAAGGTGCTCCCATAACAGAATTAGCACAGGTGGACCAGCTGGGGCGGCACGGGAACAAGGTGCTCCCATAACAGAATTAGCACAGGTGGACCAGCTGGGGCGGCACGGGAACAAGGTGCTCCCATAACAGAATTAGCACAGGTGGACCAGCTGGGGCGGCACGGGAACAAGGTGCTCCCATAACAGAATTAGCACAGGTGGACCAGCTGGGGCGGCACGGGAACAAGGTGCTCCCATAACAGAATTAGCACAGGTGGACCAGCTGGGGCGGCACGGGAACAAGGTGCTCCCATAACAGAATTAGCACAGGTGGACCAGCTGGGGCGGCACGGGAACAAGGTGCTCCCATAACAGAATTAGCACAGGTGGACCAGCTGGGGCGGCACGGGAACAAGGTGCTCCCATAACAGAATTAGCACAGGTGGACCAGCTGGGGCGGCACGGGAACAAGGTGCTCCCATAATAAAATTAGCACAGGTGGACCAGCTGGGGCGGCACGGGAACAAGGTGCTCCCATAATAAAATTAGCACAGGTGGACCAGCTGGGGCGGCACGGGAACAAGGTGCTCCCATAATAAAATTAGCACAGGTGGACCAGCTGGGGCGGCACGGGAAACAAGGTGCTCCCATAACAGAATTAGCACAGGTGGACCAGCTGTGGGTGGCCAGCAGCCCTGCAAGAGCCTGGAGAAGACTGTTAATGAAGTCGGAGAGGATGAGATGGCCAGATGTTTAGCAGCACGGTGCCTCGGTATTAAGGGAAACGTGAAAGCTAACCGCTGCATTGGGAGGGCTGGTCTAGCAGACCTCCAAGCAGGATGCTCAAGGTCCTGGTGGTTTATCTCACCCACAATAAGAATGGACAAAGAGAGATGAACTAAAAAAATCATACAAAGAACTGGCCCATTTTCAAGCAAAATTTAGAAGGAATATAAAAAAGCCAAAACTTACGCGGAGTAAAAGCGAAACTGCTCCTCATCCCTAGTCTCTCCCAGGAGAGTCTCAAAGTACCCAGAGAGATGCAACTGCGAAACCACACCTGAGGAATCTCAGCTGCACCTGGACCTGATTCAGACCCTGGCTCTCTAAGTTAGGGGCATCTGTGGAAAGGGTGGATGCATTTTTGCATATGGGAAGAATGTAAATCAATCTTTGGACTGAAGAGATTTTAAGATATAAAATCTTTAAGTATTATTATGCTTGACACTATTTGACACTTCTCTCATTAAGTAGGGTTTATGCCCTTTTCCGTTAAATCTAGACGGGTTTATGAATGACCATTTCAACCAACAGAGCATGAAAGACTTTTGAGGCTATGTCATCAAAGGCAATGAGGTTTCTGCCTTGTTCTAACACACGTGCTTAGAACCCTGAGCCGCCATGTACGAAGTCCAACCACACTAAGGCTGAGACACGTGAGGAATCCAGGCCGCATGGAGAAGCCCACGTGGGCCCCTTAGTTCTGCTTTTCAGGTTGTACCAAGCCCAGGCACGTGATGCGAGTACACGGCATTCAGTCGACTGTAGTCCCAGCCACTGAGTCACCCCTACCTTTGAGTCTCTCTCTTCCCTAAGTGTTGGGGTAATCTGTCATGTAGCAACAAGTAACTGATTATTTCATCACTTTTAGAAAAAAATCACTGTGTGACAGACAAGATACCTGTGGCCAAGAATATCCCAAGCAGATGGCTAGTTTGTTGTTATTTGGTTTAAATCGATGATCTCCCATGGTGATACGACTTCCCAAATGTCATTGTCCAGTTCTGTTTTGCCTTTATCATACACTTCAAATCAATGACGTTTATCTTTTTGGTGTATTTGGCCCATTTACTAATGTGAAACACCCTTCTCTGTTTCTTTTAGTGGATTTTCAATCTTGAGTTCTATTTTGTATATTAATAGGATTGATACACTTTTACTTTCTCCTTGTTTTTTTTATTTTTTTGAGACAGAGTTTTGCTCTTGTTACCCGGGCAACCTCCGCCTCCTGGGTTCAGGCAATTCTCCTGCCTCAGCCTCCTGAGTAGCTGGGATTACAGGCACGCGCCACCATGTCCAGCTAATTTTTGTATTTTTAGTAGAGACGGGGTTTCACCACGTTGATCAGGATGGTCTCGATCTCTTGACCTCATGATCCACCCGCCTCGGCCTCCCAAAAGTGCTGGGATTATAGGCGCCCGGCCTACTTTCTCCTTGTTACAGGAGATATGCCTGGCATATGGTTGTCTAGCCCTTATTTTCATTCTTCCTATACTATGTTAAAAATCTTTTTAGGCTGAATTTTGTTACTTTTTCCCAATTCTGTTGGCATATTATGAGCACTCATATTTAGCATAACGGAAACCCTATCAGACAGGGCTAGTGTTTTATTT